GCGTCCCTGAGACAGGTGACCCGGAGCTCTTGGATCCTGCTCTTCAGGAGATGGCGACTGCACCACTCCTTCCCCCGGAGGAGGGTTGGGTGGAGAATCTTATGTTCCCGTTAGTTTTTGCAGGAGATGGTGACTGCACCACTCCTTCCCCCGGAGGAGGGTTGGGTGGAGAATCTTATGTTCCCGTTTGTTTTTGTTCCGCCACTGGCTACCCAGAAAGTGGTACCCAAAACTTCAATAAAAGAGCAGTTTCCTTGGCCTCCGGGTCCCAAGAGGGCGAGGACGGCGGTGCACGAGACCCTGTCTCCACACGGCCGTCCCCCTCTCCCTTCGCTAATGGACAGCAGGGCACGTAGTCTTGGCTCCTCAGCGAAAAACTGATGTGCGTTTGCACGCACTCTCCTTTTATACCAGCGCTGCGGGGCGGGTTGCGCATGGCGAAACACGCACGCCAACTGTCATTGGCTTGTTTAGTTAACACTAGAAGGTGATTGGGCTCTCGGGCGAGATTCCAATTCGTCAGTCACGACTGACGTAACGTCTCCGTTCCCTCCTTCAGGGAACGAAGGTTACACAAGTAACCTAGACGTTACACAGTGTAGGTTATTATATTAACCATGAACATGATCCATTAATGCTTGGCAAGCAGCAAGGGCCCCAGATACTTAATTTTGAACAGTATATCTATTGTTTTATAAATAATAATTAAATCCTACAACTTTTTTTTTTGCGAGATGTTGTGCTTGTGCAACTTAAAAAAAAAAAAAAAAAAAGGACAGTTGCATTGGTATTTTGTTATTTCATTACATTTTTAAGCATGACACTGTGTTGGGGCCACTGTGTGATTTAAGGCTCAGCACATCCAATCAATTGGGAGTCTGAACTGCTTTTTGGATATTGGATTTGGATATCAGGTACATGCTAATGATGGCTGGAGTCTGATTAATCAGAGATGAATCACACTGTGATTAATCTCTGAATCAGATTTTTCCATGGGTCAGAAATTATGTCATAACACACAGGGATAAGTCAGTCCACTCCAGTCCAATAAATGCCTGTATTGAGACAAAACCCCATATTGGCTTTAATTGATTATTCCTCCATCTCTATCCTTGTAAATCTCTTGCAATTTCAGGAATCAGTCCCCTTCTCACCTGTGGACCCATACCACAGTGAGTGGCGCACCAATGGTATTAAGACACACTATTGTTGCTGTGAATGACTTTCCCCTTTCCAACTACCTTCAATGGATCCATTTAGAGTCTGTAAAGGGGAGCTCTCCTTCTATATGAGATTGCAATAGACCTGATGTCCTATAGTCTGGGGTAGTTCACAGAAAATTACAATTCGGACATTATTTACTCACCCTTATATCATTCCAGACCTATATGCTGTTGCTTCAGTGTGAATTTGTGAAGAATCTGCAAGCTCTTGTCATATTCTTGTGTCACACACTGATGTTACCATTGCAGAAAACTAATAGAAACTTCCAATAGGTTTCACAAATTTTCTAGAAAGAAGAAAATGTGTAATGTTTCTGCACTTCATGGTAAAAAGAATAATATACACTTTTACCATGATTTACAGAAGACACCCACTATAATGTCATTCAGTCGTTTATAAAACCAAAAAAGTCTTGTCAGGCATATTTAGAACAAGAATTATTAATAACATTATTAAAGGACTATTTAAGGATCACAGTGCAGCTCCCAAAATACTAATTAACAGAAATTTTAAATCTTTTCCACTATCTTTCAAACCACTAGGTTTGGCCTACTTGTCAGCAAGAAGTTTTAATAATTTAAAAGATAATAAAATGTAGCATGATCACTTTTTCTGTTATATATTTTAGTAAGTACAGGTCAGAATAAGCAAGTTGTTTAATTTTTACATAAATATGTAATGCTGAATGGTGATGGAACATTATTTCACCCATATTTCTACATTTTATTTTCACAAAAGTTATTTGAAACATTAAAGTAGACACTTGCATTTAATATTCTTTCTATGCAATACGTAAAATCACTTTAATCTGATGCGAGACGTATACAATCTAACAATCATTAATCTGTTCTAAAATATATAATCAAATATGATATAAAGTAAAACACTAGATGACAATAAATGATAACTGAAAACTTTTTTCAAATGATTGTTCACAATGTCATAATTTGAAACATTGCAGGAGGGGTAACTATGTTCAGTAGTCAAATATGACATCATCATAAACAAAATATTTACGTTTTTATGTGCCTTTTGTAAAAAACAGGACTTTTAACTATTTCCTTCTAAGTATCAAAATTCAGTTTCTGTGTTCCATGGAAGCGAACAGCGAAGGGGTTTGGAATGACATGAGGGTGAGTAACAGATGACAGAATTTTCACTTTGTGTGCAGTATCGCTTTAAATCGTAACGATTTGTGCCGAGAGCTAACTCCATCGCATCAGCTCAAGAAAATGTCAAAAAAGTATTAAAATGTGTTTTTTTAATCCAAATATAGTGTAACTTTACAGGCTCTGCTGTAACCTAGCAAAGCTACAGGACATGATGAAATCTTGCCATCGCCTTGAGCCACAAAGCGCTCTCTTCTCCCCCAGATCTGGTTCTGTCTCTCTCAGGAACGGAGATGATTCCACGTGACATCTGTGCTCCTCTCTGCCTGTACCTTGAGATTCATCCTATCTGAGCAGAGGGTGACTTTGAGCCTTGGCTGTGTGACAACCCTGGTGCTGAGCTCCTGCTCAGGCAATCAAAAACCAGGCATCATATAGAGGGAAGTAAAAAAGGAAAAAAGCTACAACTCAAGGTCAGCATCTGCAGAGTGTGTCGCTGAGATTGCCACTGGGAGGCGAGGTCAGGGTGCGGGCATGAGACAGCTTGAGAAAGAAGCGGCGGGAAGCGCACTATACCTTAGAGAGATATTCTTTCTGTAGGCTGCCTCGGTCGAAGTTCAGCTGCATAAAAGCACAATGCAGAAGTGTGACAGAGCTGGAGAATGCCAAAGATAATGAGACGCGAAACCGTGAGCCTTGACTGGATTTCGTGAACTCGCTGTAAAGCAGAAGTAAACTTTAAAGGCCAGTAAATGATCCTGGAGTGTGTTAGTAACCATCTCAATGTAATTGGAAATAAAATGAGATTACTAATGTATCTCTGAAAGCAAATTCAACACTCTTTGTGTGCAGAATTCTATATGATCACAGGGCATCTGATATATTTTGTTACATTCACTGGTCTAAAGAACATACCAAGGATACTGAAATGTGAATAGTATTATTACATAATATTTTAGGTACATTTAATATAACACATTCTTTGAAGGCAAGACGGTGAATCTCAAATATTAATGCCACAAGTATCCTGTAAGATAAACGTACCACATTTTGCTGATGAGATTCTGCCAGTTTTCAAATAGATTCAGATCCCGCTGCGGTGTATATCATTGACGACAGCAAAATATGTCTTTTCACTCATGCTTTCAGAAGTTTGACTTTACCTTTAAAAGATGAATACGATTTTCATGTCATGTAACACAGGAAATAACACCACCAAAACCAAGCATTACTTTGAACATTAATTTCTTTTCTTTTTTTATTAAGACAAGAACTCTCCATTTTTTTTGTAAAAATGTCTAATATGAACAAATACAAAATGTGGATGGGAATGTGGATATCATTTTTTCTTCATTAATACACATTAACATTGCCCAAGTACAGCAGAAAGACAAAAAAATAAGCAACCTAAAAACAATGAATGATAAACGTTCAAAACTTTCCAAACTATCTGGAACCAGAACGAGAAACATGTCGACTTTGATTTCAAATTGTTACTTGTTTGCCCCAACACACTCTCATGGCAATTCTTAACTATTTTACGTTTTGCCGAATTAGGGGTGAATTTGTATAATTTCATTTGTACATTTTCGTATGATCTGCTTATGCCCCACTGATGGTTTTACAGGTGAACCTTCATGCTTAGTTTTTTTTCTTCTTCTAAAACCCATAAAATAATTACGTTTTATCATGAGAGCCGTTGGTTTGTCCTTTCCTGTCCTCTCTGTGTGAAGTAGGTCTAAAAAAAAAGATAATACTTTATAATATAAAGTATTATAATACTAATAAACATAGTGTGTACATTACATACACATTTTACAGTGTGCTAAATAAACAACAACAAATAAACAACAACAACAGAAAATACGTAACACGTAGTTCTAATGTAAAATTCACCATTAGATTTGAGATCCAGCTTGATCTGGTTTGTATGCAATTTCCACTTTCTTAATCAGGGGCTGTAACTTTGCATTCTACCTGAGATGCAAACATACCATTTATTGTACGTGAACCTGAGACAGGGCTTAAATGAAACTGTCAAGTTCAAATAAAAGAAATCAAATCAAGTTCCATCAGCAACACTGTTGCACTATCAAACTGAAACCGTACCCAGTTCACATCTCAAAACAAGCAGTTATATTTGGACGATTTCAATTAAACCTTTTTCGACTTGCTGTACAAGAGACAGAGGACAAAATAGATCACTGGCGTAACCGCGTCTTCCCATCGACCATCTGTCTTAAGTCCTCAGACGCCTACTAGAGTGGATTAAACCACAATAATCACATTAAAACAGGTCTAACATAACAAGTTGAACAAAATGTACATCGGCCCAGTCTAAATACCACAAATTAGTATACTGATGTCATGTCTCTCACATATGCAAAAGAGAAGAAGGGATGTCTGAAATCCTGTTCAGAAGCTGCCAGACCAAAGCTAAATGATGCTCACTAGTTAAGCACAAGCCACACAACTGTATATCTCAACTGCAACGGCAACCATCAAGCTGCAAGACATTCCCTCGGATTTATATTCTACGTAAAAACAAACGTGTCCAAAGTGTTTCTCATGGTTAATGCACATACTCTAAAACGACTCAGTGGATGCTTGATTTTTTATTTTATTTATTTTTTTAAATAAGAAAATAAAGCAAATTAATGCACATACTCTAAAACGACTCAGTGGATGCTTGATTTTTTAGCAATCAAGAGTACGTTTTCCTTCCTCAGCCTTGCGGTTTTATTTACACACTGAGGTTGATTTCAGCAGGGCCTAAACTATGGCATCTAAGTTCACTTACACTACAGAGAGAGTCATGAGGAAATGAGAAGAAATACTTCTCTTTAGGAAAAGTACTTTAGACATCTTAGCCACCTTACATTATGTACCCTTAACGGGCGCTACGTTTGTAGCTAGGCTCCGGTGAAATGTCTAATGCGTTCACAGGAGCGAAGAGAGCATGATACTTGAGCATGTTGGCAGAGTATTTTGGTTAGTGTCATGTGCTGACAACGACTGTAAATATAGGGGGACATCCACAAATGCGGCTAATTACATTGTAGGCGGTTTTCCTAAAATATTTGGAATGTTATTAAAAGCTTTTTCAAATTCTTTTTCAAACTGTATTGGTAATAAAAGACTGCTTCACTCTCCATTCAAACTAACCTCATTTGAAGACTATTATGCATAAGCAGGAACCCGGAGGAGCAACTCACAGCAATTATAAACAATAAAACACACATTGTTTACACTTCAAAAGGAAATTATGTCACCATGGTGCTTTTTCGCACCATCGAGCCTGGGATATTTGGGCAGTTTATATTCAAATACTAATATCACTAGGATAAGCTAGCTGCGACTGCCACTGTTTCCTCTGAGGAAGAACAAACAGGCAATTAACTTGACAGGCAATCATGTACCATTACACACTTGTTGGACTGCTTAACATCAATGTCACATCCTCACTGACTCGCCTACAAACAAGATACACAAATGCAGATGTTTTTTTTTGGCTGTTAAAATGCATTTTAAGGTAGTAAAGTTATAGTAATCAAACCATTTCCAAATCTTTCCTCTCTGTACATCTACAAACATGATGGTCGTGGCGCTTCCTCCCTTGAGCCTAACAAAAGCAGGCTCTAAAACTAAAAAACTTCTTGCTTTGACACTATTTTAGGTAGTTATTTACGTGTGCTAGAGGGTCACCTTCACCAGCCCTGCATGGGAAACTACAGCATGAGACGAAAAAAATATAATATAAGCCACATCATTTAGACCTTTTTCAGTGACGGCGACTGTTTCGTCATTATGGCATGAGTGAAAACATTTCTGGATGAAAATGCTGAGAAAACCTAAGACATCATTATACCAAAAACAATAAATACCTGCAAGGGCTTTCGGTTGTGTGTAGCTGAGCAGAACGAGATGAGAAGCCTCCGAAGGTGCAGTGTAGCAGGAAGCATTCATCTGGTCATTCTGAGCGGTAGCTATTCTTCAAATGTACTGGCACATACAGTATAATTGGGGGGGAAAAAACTCAAGTAAATGAAGTAAACCGAGGATAAAAGCATTCTGCAGCCAAGCAGACGCAGAATGTCAGAATGAAAACAGGTGCAACGTTCAGGATCAATTCTCCGCCGGTCTCATCAACTTACTGGGGTACAGGAAGGAAGGAAGCTGCTTGTACTTCCCTTCATGATGCTGCTGACTTGAGTAAATCAAAATGCTGTCATGTGACTAGGCCTGCTTAGTACAGAGGATATGATGTTTTGAAGGAGATGCCCACAGTATAGGGGAATGTATTGAGGAGTGCTCTCATGTACCTTCATAGGAAAGCTGATAAAGTCGATAATCAGAGATGGTGGTGTATGTATGTTTTCAGGGAGGGTGGTTTGGGATGTGACGCGATGGATGGCTTTTGAAGCATGACTAAGAAAAGAAATTCAGAACAAGGCACAGAATTTTCTGCAAATGGTCAAGAAATTAACAAAAAATACCAGCAGTTGGGGAGGTGCTGTGTGGTGATGCTTTCTACACTCATATCTGGCAACGTCTGGTATCCCGCCCGCCCCAAACCCCATCCCCGACCCTGATCCCACTGTATAACACAAATACCTACATCTTCTCAGCTGCCCATGTAGCATTCTACTTCATTCAATCCCCAGGAAAGAAAATCGAACAAATAAACAAAAACAATCTCAGTTTCCCCATGCCCCGCCCCCTCCCGCCGAAACAAAACAAAAGAAAATAGTAAGAACAACAGAGGCCTCGGGACTCAGATATAGTACTCCTTCTTCTCGTCCGAGTTGTTGTGGCCCCCTTCGGCATTGATAATGGCCGTGTCGGCGTCCGCTGCATCGTCTGCCCCCTTGGCTTCGTGTGTGAAGTAGGTGCCTGTGTGGGTTTCAAAGAAAAGCGCGTTGATAAAAGCAATATCTCCAGCACCCCGGGGCCTCTGATTGATGCAATTGCGGGGTTTTAAAAGAGATTAAAGACCATCTGGAGCTGCTTCTCTAATTTAGAGTGAGGGTCGATTCCAGGGACTTTACCTGCCCATAAATAAGACATTAATTTCACCACGCTGCATTTGGTTGCATTACACTGTCTTTCATGGGTGAGAACAACAGGTAATACATCCCCAAACTAATACCCCATGATGGGGAGACTTTGATTACAGCATGGCAGACAAAATCTGTCCCTCTAGATCGAGCGCTATTAGATAAAACAAACAAGAAAAGAGACGAAAACTCTGACACGCACTCAGTTATTTGTGGCTAATAATTCAGGAAATTTCCATAAAATCCTCTCCAGGTTTGGTTTCAGTTTGACTTTGCGCTTTAGAATTAACCTTGGAAAGTGTTAGAAGGTGGGAATAAACGAACCACTTTAAACTTCATTTCTGAGTGGGATTATTCCCATCCTCTCAGTCAGCCGCATGATAATGAAGGCAGTAGCCATGATAAAAAGTGGAGATGCTGCACCCACTTTATATTACAGAACACAACAGTGTGATGCAATCAGAGGGATAGCGGCCTTAATGTGGTCGTTGCCACAGGCCAATTCAAAGCACCTGCAGAGCTTCAACGACAGGATGGCTTCTTCGCCTATCCAGAATCTTATTCCAAGTAATTAGAAAGTCTATTGACCTTGGCAATGTGCCGCAAGAAAGACTGCGGGCTGAATTACCTTTGTGTCTTGCAAAGTATCGTCCCAAAACGATGAGAAGACACAACATGGCGAAGACCACGACGGCCACCACTCCTCCGATAACCGCATGGTCCAATCTCTGTGCTTCTGGTCCTGCTTGTGAATCTTGACAGAAAAGAGTCAAGAGATGATGTGTTACTTGCAACAGAATCAACAAACAGAAGATATAACACTGCATATGAAGCCTGTTTATAATGTATAATGCATTATTAAAGCCACCTTAAAAATGTACACAAGTTTGGGGTCGGTAGGATGTTTCCATGTTTTTGAAAGAAGTATCTTATGCTCACCAAGGCTGCATTTATTTGATCAAAAATATAGTAAAAACAGTAATATTATAACATATTATATTAACATTTTCAATAACAGTTTTCTCTTTTAATATATCTAAATGGCACAGCTGAATTTTCAGCAGTCATTACTCCAGTTGTAATAATTTTTTCCAGGATTCTTTGATGAATAGACAGTTCAAAAGAACAGCATTTCTTTTCTTTTTTTTATTGAAATCTCTTGTAACATATGCATAATATACAGTAAACGCCTTTACTGGCTCTTTTGATCAGTTTAATGTTGAATAAAGTATCAAATCCTTTTTAAAATCTTACGAAAGTTAGTGCATCAAATTATTAATTTGTATTATAGTATTATGTATTAATTTACATTATCATACAGCTGATAATGAGGTGAATTATAAGGTATTATGAAAGCATTATGCAGAAAGCAGGCTCTATAGAAAGTGCAACCAAATAAAAATTTTTAGACAAGCTACACATATTCTTTCTGTGATTCCATAATAGACAAAACACATTAGTATTAATCTTACTCAGATTCATTATAATGAGAAACTGTAAATATTAGATAATACATTTAATTGGGGAAAAAAATACTTTTGAGGAGAAAAAAGATAATTTAGTTGGGAAAAGAGGAACACATAGTAATAATATCGTAAAATGAATAAGATGGATGAATGCTGATGTTACATATGTAGATAAAAATGTTTTGTAATGTGTAATACATTTT